CCTTCCTACTTCGTGTTTCGACCCACTTTTCCGACCGACAGGTGCTTTTATTCATGAACGTTCTAACGTGTGGTTAGATGACGCTCAACCCTAGTAGTAGTAATTGGTAGTCGTAGTCGAAGTTGAAGTCGAGCAGGTACGTGGTGCTAGAGGGCAGAGGAGCAGGAGGAGAAGGAGGAAGATGCCGCCAGAGTTCTCCAGAGGCTTTTTATATATATATATATATATATATATAAATATATACATATATATTCGGGCAGGTCATCTTCGGCCGAACAAATCCCTCATCCTCGATTCTCGATCCTCCCATTTCCTCCTTTTCCTCTGGCATTGGAGAATCACAGCGACAGAGGTCTAGGGATTTCAAAAGGAGAAGGAGGAGGAAAATCAGGCGGAGGAGGAGAACGAGGAGGTTGAGGAGGAGAACGAGGAAACGGAGAGGGAGGCGAGAAAGGAGGCGTAGGAGGAATAGGAGGAGGAGGAGGAGGAGGAGGAGGAGGAGGAGGAGGAGGAGGAAGACGAGGAAGACGAAGATGAAGAGAAGGAGGAGGTTTCCAGAGGTCTCCTGCCTTCAGAGGTCACCAGCAAACCCGACTTAGTACCAACACAGACCCTGAGGGTCCTTGAGCCACCAGATACTTTGATCCTGCATCTTCTTTCTTTTATCTCAGGAGCAAGACAGGTACGCACTTGCACGTGAATTCGTACGGGGGTTCGAGAGAATGCATTGTGCGAGCGTTCCTGACACGAGGGCGGCATCGCGAAGTTGGAGGCGCTTTCATGTGCGCGGCTGGGCGCGTGGGTCTTGTCTGGGTTCCCTATCCCTCCTTTTTCCTCATCTTCCTGGAGGAGGCATGAGGACGAGGAAGAGGAGAATAATGATGAGGAAGATGATGAGGTAACGAGGAGGAGGAGGAGGAGGAGGAGGAGGAGGAGGAGGAGGAGGAGGAGGAGCAGTACAGAAGCCAAAGTGTACGATCGATGTTGCAATACAGCCTCCCTCCAGATGCCATCTTCATAGGGCTCTGCCAGAATCTACTTCCACTGCGGGAAATGTCCCGTTGGAAGACAATTGGTTGAGAGTCCTCAGTCGTGCCAGGAAGCCGTTCTTGGGACTTCAATGCCGCGAATCAGCGTTGTTGTTGCGCCCCTGCGATCCCGAGTCGCGCCAAGACGCCATTCTTGAGATTTCAGCACCTCGATTCGTGACTGTTGCGCCCTGGCGGGCTTCAATCGTGCCGGACCCAACTGGGGGGGGGGGGCAGCGAGCGCTGCAGAACGAGCCCTTCCGGGCCCCCTCAGGGTCCCAAAGGGGGCCCGTAGGGCCCGAAAAGAGCACCTCTCCCCCCCCCCTTTCATTTATCGCCCCCCAAATTAATTCGCGCCCACCCCCCTCATTTATCGCCCCCCCGCCCACTTATCGCCCCCCAAATGAATTCGCGTCACAGCCTTCCAGGAGGACCCCCGAAACAGTGCAGGCGGCGTCGCGACGGGAGACGCGTTTTGCGAGAAGGAGCCGCCCTCCATCCGTGAGGCTCCTGCAGAACTTCTGCAACGACTGTGCGCGGCGCCTCGGCGGGAGCCGCGGTTTGAAAACCACCCGCACTCAATCCGTGAACCTGTTGCCGACCTCGAATTCCACTGCTACAGATGCCGAGGGAGTCACAGGCGAAGCGCCCGGCCCGCCCCACCGACGCGCCTCGGGGTACAGGAAAGCGGGTGGAGGAGGAGGGGCAGGAGAAGAAGGGGGGGTGGAGGCGGAGGAGGTAGGAGGGATGGAGACGAGGGAGGAGGAGAAGAGGGAGGAGGAGGGATGGAGAAGAGGGAGGAGGAAGGATGGAGAAGAGGGAGGAGGAGGATGCAGGAAAAGGAAGTAGACTGAGGAGGAGGGAGCCGCGTGGGTGCAACCGCCGCCTCCCCATCCCGCGCGCGACCGCCGAGGGGCCGCCAGCCACGGCGCCAGTTCGGGAGACACCGACACCGACGGCGCTGAGTCGCTGAGGTGGGCGGGCGGCCGCGGCTGTGGTGGAGGAGGAGAAGAAGGAGGAGGAGAAGAAGGAGGAGGAGAAGGAGGAGGAGGAGGAGGAGGAGGAGGAGGAGGAAGAGGAGGAGGAGGAGGAGGAGGCGGAGGAGGAGGAGGAGAATGAGAAGACTAGGAAGAAGAGGCAGGCATCCGGCACGGGGCGCAGGAGGAGGCCAGGCAGGGAGCGGCAGCTGCCGGCAGCCGCAGCAGCCCTGCAGCAGGGCCCGCCCCCCCCCCCCCCAAAGGCCCGACCGCGACGAGCAAAACAGCCGCCGAGCAGCACCCTCCCCCGTTTGGGGATGGCGGGAGCGGTCGCTGGCCCGTGGTCCGTTTTCCTCCTCCTCCTCCTCCTCCTCCTCCTCCTCCTCCTCCGGCTGGGCGGCGCACAGGTCGTCCACCCCGTCGCCGTCGGACCGGCGCGGGCCGGCGCCGTCGCCCCGGGGGAACCGGCGCCTGCCGGCGCCGCCGCGCACCGAGGCGCCGCGGGGCTGCGGCCGCCGCTCCGCCGTGCTTCGCTGCGGAGTGCCCCGTCGTTCGCCACCCACTAAGCTCAGGAGGGGAAGAAACACACAGACACAATTAATCGTCGACTCCCAGGAAAAGATGGGAAAATATGGGGGATATTTTTGTTTGTGTGTAGTTATTTGTGTGTCCCAGTTCCCCTTCACACCAAGCCACCCCAACCCAACCCGAAGGCCTCGATTTGGCCTCCCCTTCCAGTGTGGGGGGGGTCGGGGAACATCGAGAGCACACATGTGGAACCCGTACCCCCCCCAGCCCGAAATTCGGGTCTTCGGGTTGGGTTGGCGTGGTCTGGTAGGTAGTCAGTCGTTCCTCAGGGCTCATGCGTTGTTCTCGTGCCCCACACGGGGTCGATGCGAACTCGACGCTGAAATGGCGTGGGTTCGACGCGGATTCGACGTCGACTCGTTGAGGGTTCGACGAGGCCGGCATGGACTCCACGGATTTGACGCGGACAGCGGCGCGACGGGACAGACGAGGTCTCCGAGTATGCAACGTGGCCCCGTCAAGGAGGAGGGGCAGACCGATTGGGGAATGTATGGCCGACCGCCTTCCCCCCTATGGGGCTGGGCTTCAAAGACCCAGACATGCTCGCGCCTTGAATCCATCACGGCAGGAGGTTTTTGGCAGTTTTTGGCCCCCTGGGGTCTTCGCAGGGGCCCGGGACTGTCAAACAATAATTCGGCATGAAAATCCGGCCCCACCGAAGATGTCGGAATTTCGAGGGGCCCGGCATTGTGACAAAATCAGGACATCGCATGTCTGGGGGACCTTCGGCTCCCGATGGCGAGAATGTGTCGCAGAAGCGACACGGCAAGTATACAAATATGATCTGCTCCACCCCTACCTGGCCCACTCTGCGGAGGGGGCCAGGCCGGGGTCGGGGGGGTGCACTCTTTCGCAGGCCTAGAGGTTGACACCAACACCGATTTCGGCGGTGTTCCTCCACCGAGGGAAGAAGATCCCGATATCGGTGTTGGTGGTAATATTTTGGCTTCCAAGGTGGCCGAAATATGACCACCAACACCGAAATCGAGGATCATCTTCCCCGGGTGGAGGCAGCCCTCTGTCTTGGTGTTGGTGCCCATTTCCAGGCCTCCCACTCTTACCTCTGAAGCCTCTTGGAGGATTCTCGGGCGCCTCCTGGAGACATCTCGGGGGCTTCTTGGGCGCCTCTTTGGGGCCTGGGGGGCGGCACCCGGGCCCTCATTGGGTGGGTGGCCCCAAAGAGGCCCTCTCGAGCTCCTCTCTTGGGGCCTCTTGGGGCGCGTCAGGAGTCCCTCTTGGAGGCTCGGGGGCTGCCTTGGGGTGGTCTTGAGGGCCCCCCTTCGGCTGTCCTGGATGCGCTCAGAGACTGGACCGGAGGAGGAGGAGGAGGAGGAGGAGGAGGAGGAGGAGGAGGAGGAGGAGGAGGAGGAGGAGGAGCAGGAGAAGCTTCAGTCTGCCATGGCCATGCTCTTATTAGGGGGGGGGGCGGCAGCCCCCTGGGCCTCGACGGCCCGCGAGGGTCGCAAGAAGGGCACGGGACGTCCCCACAGCCGGATGCCAAGAGATTGACACCAACACAAACATCGGTGGTGTGCTTCCACTGAAGGAAGGTGCTCCCGATCTCGGTGATGGCGGTAACATTCTGGCTTCCTAGGTGGCCGAAAGATTACCACCAGCACCAAAATCTAGGATCATCTTCCTCCCGTGGAGGCAACCCCTGGTGTTGGTGTTGGTGCCCATTTCCAAGCGTCCAACACAGGTCCGCCTTGCTGCGTGTTGGAAGCTTCGGCGCTTCAGAAGCCGCTTCGGAGGCTCGGACACGTAGCACGGCTAGACTCGGGAGAGCCCACGAGCGCCCAATAATTCGAGGACTCTGGGGCGCGGGGCCTGGCGAGGCATTCGGTGACGCTCGGACCACTTCGTGCCTCGGGGCACGGCGATGTAACGCCAGCATTCCTCTGCCCGCCCCGAGCAGCGCGGTGGAATGCTGGTGTTCTTCGTTGGTCCAGACGGGCTCCTTGGAGATCTGTAACTGTGGATGCGCGGTCCGCATCAGGCTTCTCCTCGGGGCGCTCCTGGGGTTACGTAGCCGACTGAAAACAATTGGGTCTCTACTGGGCCCTCTTGGGGCTGTTTTGGAGCCCTTGTGAGTCTTCTTGTGCTCTGTCTGTCTGCTTGTAGCGATGGTGGCACGCCAGACGGTCGCTGCGGGGAGCCGGGATTCGCCGTCGGATTTTCGGGCGCGCTCCCAAGATTCTTACCGTCGATTCGACAGTTTGGAGGCGCGCGCGAGATTGCCTGTGGTGGCGTGGCAGAGGCCGCCAGAAGTTAGGACGTCAAATCGTCGGGTGACCCAATCCACTTGAAGGTTGAGGCTTCCTGCAAAACCGATTTGCTCTGTTGACGAACCGCTTCAACCTAAGGCCCCGTCCTGGGGCTTCTTGGAGGAGTTCGATCAAAGAATGGGGGGCACTTCATTCGCCCCCCCCTCCCAGGAGGCCAAAGTCGGTCCAACACCGTAGAACAAATCAGTGATGTGTGCCGTCTCGCCGAGGCCTTTTTGGACGCTCCAATCGGTCGCGGGGCGCCCCGTCCAGGTCCCGGGGGGGCCCTGTCCACAAGGCGCAAGCCGTCTCGCTCGCTTCCATTCGCCCTCCCAACACAGAAGGAGCACCCCAGCACCTCTGTCAAATCCCAATGCAAAATGGTCGCGGGGCGCCCGCGCATACTCCAGATTCGGAGGCATGTTGTGCTTCGCATTGCAACTGGTCAGGGGTGGTTGGCCTGCGCGCAGAAACCAACATGAGCCCCTCCGCCGCCCTCGTCAATTACCTCGCGACGTGCCCAACCCATTTTAATCGAATGACAAGAGGCGTTGGTCCACGCTTGCGCGGGCAACCACAGCGCAGGCGCCGTCCATATTTTCGAAAGCCTCATGGGATACGCGCGAGTTGCACGACTCACAGGACAGCGATAGAATAACGAAGAGTGAGGCCCCAGGCATGAAGAAGAACGGGGGCAGGCGGGAAGGGCAGGAGAAGGAAGGTACAGTGGGCCTGAAAGCTAGCGCGGCAGCATCAGGGAGACGGTGGAAACGGGGAAGAGGACGACGACGAAAGAGGCCGGATGAGAAAGGAGGGTGGCGCTTTTTTCAGCGGCATGCTGGACAAACGGTGCGCGCGTTACGTCGCCTCGGCGCTCCAAAGAAACGGGTGCTCATAGCAAGTGTAGGACGCGAGCGAGGCCTAGCTCGCCCTCCAGCTTCTCGGCCTTTTTTCGTGCACCTGTCAGCGCGGGAGCTGAGCGCCCGCAGGCGCGCCCCCAGGTCTGCGGGCGGCCCGCGGGAAAGGACATCCAGGCCGCGGTCGCGTACCATCAGTAGGTTGTCCACCGTCGTTGCCCTGGAGAGTATCGCGTAGGAGATGCAGCCAAGCCAGAGGGCGTCCAGGTCCCCCGTGTCCTTGCGCCCAACGTCGGCGATGATTCCGCGGTGCATGGCCCCGCCCTGGCAGGCCGTTGACGTCGCCCCGCTGGGCCCTCAGCAGCCCTCGAAAATGGCGACATCAGTTTCGCAGATCGCAGCCCTCGAGACACGGCGAGATTTGATTCAATCTTGCGGATGACGTCACCCTGCTGGGCTTCCCAGCAGCCCTCGAAACTGGCGACCGATTGGCAGGTTCAGCCCCCGAGGGACGGCGAAGTTTAATTAGATCCGCGTATGACGTCACTCAATTGGACCCCCCAGCAGCCCTCAAGGCGGCGAGAGTTTCGCAGCGTGCGGCCCCCCAGGGGCGGCGAGGCGCAATTTAGATCCGCGTGTAACGTCGCTCCGCTGGACCCCCCTGGCAACCCTTGAAATTGGCGGAAGTTCCGCAGGTCGCAGCCCCCCAGGAACGGCGGGGTTTAATTTCAATCCGCGTATGACGTCACTCCGCCGGGCCCCCCCCGGCAGCTCTCGAACGCGGCGACAGCTTCGCAGATCGCAGCCCCCCCCCCCCCCCCCCAGATGGCGAGGTTTCGTGTAGATCCGCGTATAGCGTTGTCCCGTTGGGCCCCCCCAAACCTTCGAGCGAGGCGATCGTTTCGGAGATCCCCCAGCCTGGGATGGCGAGATTCAATTTTGACTTACGTATAAGTCAGCCTTCGAAAGTGGCGACACTTTCGCCGATCGCAGCCGCCCAGGGATGGCGAGATCTAATTTAGATCCGCGTATGACGTCAGCCCGTTGGGCCCCCCAGCAACCTTCGAAAGTGGCGACGGTTTCGCAGAACGCACCCCCCCCAGGGATGGCGAGGCTTGATTCCAATCCGCGCGTGGCGGAACTCCGCGGGGCCCACCAGCAGGTCTCGAAAGTTACGACGGCCTCGCATACCACAGCCGTGGGGGATGGCGAGGTCGAAATTTGGTCCGTGTGTGACGCCAGCCTGTTGGACCCCCCAGCAACCCCCGAAATTGGCGACAACTTCTCAGATTGCAGCCCACCTGGGGCGGCCAGGTTTAATTCGGATCTGCGTATGAGGCCACCCTGCGGGCCCCCCCAGCAGCTCCCGAAAATGGCGACAGTTTCGAAGATCGCAGCCCCCGGGGACTGCGAGGTTTAAGTCAGATCCGCCTGTGACGTCACCCCGCTGGACCCCCCAACTGCCCCCGAAAGTGGCGACGGCTTCGCAGATCGCAGCCTTCCCAGGGATGGCGAGGTCGAGTTTAGATCCGCGTGTGAGGTCACCCTGCTGGGCCCTCGGCAGCTCTCGAACGTGGCGACGGTTTCGAAGACCGTAGCCCCCCGGGGACGGCGAGGTTTAATTCAGATCTGCGTGTGACGTCACCCCGCTGGACCCCCCAACTGCCCCCGAACGTGGCGACGGTTTCGCAGATCGCAGCCTTCCCAGGGATGGCGAGGTCGAGTTTAGATCCGCGTATGAGGTCACCCCACTGGGCCCTCGGCAGCTCTCGAAAGTGGCGACAGT